GGGGTCTTATCAACAACATAGAAGTGGCCCTCCAAAAAAGGGGAATAATGGAAATTGCTTTGGCTGTGGTCAGGCAGGACATTTAATACGAGACTACCCACAACATAAAGAAAATAGACTTTTTTCAAAACCTCCTAAAGAACCTGGTGTATGTCCTAGATGTAAAAGAGGAAATCATTGGTCCAATGAATGCAGATCTAAAAGGGATGTTATGGGCAATCCTATCCAGTCGGGAAACGGGCGAAAGGGCCAGCCTCAGGCCCTGTATCAAACTTTTGGGGCATTTCAGGATCCAACCCCTCGGATCCTCCCTCAGTCAAAATATCCGTTCAGGAGTTATTCTGAGCCACCCCAGGTAGTGCAGGATTGGACCGCAGTTCCTCCTTCTATGCCGTACTAACCCCTGAAATGGGAACGCAAGCATTACCCACCGGAGTTTTTGGGCCATTACCCAGGGGTACCCTAGGTCTTTTATTGGGTAGAAGTTCCTCCACCATGAAAGGACTCATAATTTCCCCAGGAATTATTGATGAGGATTGTACTGGAGAAATTAAAATTATGGTTTGTTCTCCTTCTCAAATTTCTGTTATTCAGCCTGGACAGCGTATAGCTCAATTGGTATCTTTTACCCGATAGTTACTTCAGGAAAATATAAAAAAGCCATTAGAGGGAATAAAGGCTTTGGGTCCTCAGATGTTTATTGGGTGCAGTCTATTGGAGCCAATAGGCCAGAGATAAAACTGTTAAGTCAAGGAAAATCTTTTATTGGGTTATTAGATACTGGTGCTGATGTCTCTGTTATAACTGCTGACCAGTGGCCTTCCACATGGCCTTTACAGGAGACTGTCTCTCAATTACAAGGCATTGGTCAAAGTACTGATATGTTAAATTGGAATGATTCTGAAGGACATTGTGGGACTTTTCAGCCATATGTTATTCCTGGCCTCCTGGTTAATCTATGGGGAAGGGATGTCATGCAACAAATGGGAGTTTATTTATATAGCCCTAATCAAAAAGTTTCTAATCAAATGTTTGATCAAGGATTCTTGCCTAATGTTGGTTTAGGAAAGGAAGGTCAAGGAATTCAATTTCCTGTGACTCCGACAGCCCATCCTTCTAGACAAGGCCTGGGATATTTTCCCTAGGGGTCATTGACATGCCTGCACCCCATGCAGATCCAATTGTCTGGAAAGACTAAAAAACTGTTTGGGTTGATCAATGGCCCTTAACTAGTGAGAAGTTAACAGCCGCCAGACAATGAACCGTCTGTCTCTCCTTGGAATTCACCTATTTTCGTTATAAAGAAAAAGTCTGGTAAATGGAGATTATTGCAAGATTTAAGAAAGATTAATGAAACTATGGAAATCATGGGAGCATTACAACCTGGTCTTCCCCTTGCCTCTGCAATACCTAGAAATACTTTTAAAATAGTTATTGATTTAAAGGATTGTTTTTATACTATACCTCTAGCCCCTACAGATTGTAAACGATTTGCTTTTAGTGTCCCTTCTATTAATTTCCAGGGACCTATGCAAAGATACCAATGGAGAGTTTTGCCTCAAGGTGTGGCAAATAGCCCTACCCTATGTCAAAAGTTTGTAGCGCAGGCTCTTTCCTGTATTAGACAAAGGTATCCTTCTGTTTATATGATACATTATATGGATGACATTCTCTTAGCAAATGAAGATGAATCATTATTGCTTACTGTATTTGTTTATTTACAAAAGGTTTTAAATGATTATGGGTTAGTTATTGCTCCTGAAAAAATTCAACAGGAGTCTCCTTTTTCATATTTGGGATATCAGCTATATCCTCGAAAAATATTTACCCAAAAGTTACAGATTCGAAAAGATAATTTGAAAACTTTGAATGATTTTCAAAAATTATTGGGAGATATAAATTGGATACATCCCTATTTAAAATTAACTACCGGAGAATTAAAACCTTTATTTGATATCTTGCAAGGGGATCCTGATCCTTCCTCCCTCAGGACCCTCACATATGAAGGACGATTGGCTCTTCAAAAGGTGGAAATAGCCATTTCTAATCAACAGATATTTTATTTTGATTATCAAAAACCCTTAGAAGCTTTTATTTTTCTAACCAAACATTCCCCTACAGCTGTTTTGTGGCAAAATGGACCTTTATTGTGGTTACATTTATCTGTTTCACCTGCCAAAAATTTACAACCTTATTATGAAGCTGTTGCCCAACTTGTTCAATCAATCCGATGTAATGCTCGGAAATATTTTGGTTTAGAACCTTCCATTATTGTAATTCCATTTACAGGAAAACAATTAGATTGGCTGTTTCAGAATTGTGATTCCTGGGCTATTGCATTTGCATATTTTTCAGGCCAAATTAAATTTCATTATCCACCTGATAAATTGTTACAATTTGCAAATCTTCAATCCTTCATTTTTCCAAAAATTATTTCATTTAAGCCTATACCTGATGCCATTGTTATTTTCACTGATGGATCCTCTAATGGAAAAGCTGTTTATGTTATTGATGGTCATGAAAAGGTTTTTTCAACACCTGCCACTTCAGCACAAGTAGTTGAATTGCGTGCCATTCTTTTTGTTTTTCAGGAATTTGCCCATGTTTCTTTTAATCTATATACTGATAGTCTGTATTTGGCTAAAGCCCTTCCTTCTTTAGAAACTGTGGCCTGTATTAATACCAGTAATTTAGAAATTCAACAACTTTTTATTCAAGTACAAAATTATATTCATGCTCGTTCTCTTCCTTGTTTTATTGGACATATTCGAGCACATACTGTTTTACCCGGTCCATTGTCTTTGGGAAATCATTTTGCTGATGTTTCCACAAAATTTATTGCCCTTTCTAAAATTGATTTAGCTCGTCAATCTCATCATCTCCATCACCAAAGTAGTCGTACTCTTAGATATCAATTTCAGATTCCTCGAGAAGCTGCCCGACAAATTGTTAAACAGTGCTCCACTTGCCCTCAATTTTCTTCTGTTCCACATTATGGTATTAATCCTCGAGGTTTGCTTCCTAATCAACTATGGCAGATGGATGTTACTCATGTAATGGAATTTGGGAAACAAAGGTATGTACCTGTTGTTGTTGACACATTTTCAGGATTTATTCTTGCTTCAGCTCAAACAGGAGAAGCTACTAAACATGTTATTGCTCACTGTATATATTGTTTCTCCATTTTAGGGTACCTCAAAAAATAAAAACAGATAATGGTTCTGGATATGTTAGTAAGGCCTTCAAACTATTCTGCCAACAAATGCATATTGTGCATATTACAGGTATTCCCTATAATCCTCAAGGACAAGGAATAGTTGAACGTGCTCATGGCACATTAAAAGTGCTACTTCTGAAAATAAAAAGGGGGGGTTATATCCCTCCTCACCCAGAAATTACTTAAATCATGCTACCTATATTTTAAATTTTTTGCAAATTGATAAGCATGGCCATTCAGCAGCAGAAAGATTCTGGCATCCACACTCTGAAATAGAATTCCAACAGAACGATGGGGCCTGATAACCCAACACATAGTATTTTTACAGGCAAATGCATTTAAGAGTACAGCTAAGGATGCTAGGAATGGGGGCCTCTTCTCTTCCCTATAT